ATTTTAATGTTTCCAGACTTTTGGTTTTTAAATTGCCATATGAAGTTACCTATTTACTAGTTAACTTTTATATGGTTAATAGGCTGTTAATATGTATGAAAATGTAAAACACTTAACGGGGAAATACTTTAAAATATACAAATTATCAGGCATCATGTAAACAATTGTACTCGCCAACTCGATAAGTTAGCAAGCCTGTCCATGCATGTGCAGTCATGTTGACGCGCACAGATTGGCGCCTGCGTGAGGCCCACTCACGAGCTCCCACCACGACAGCTCACGCAGCTCACGCGAGGTGACGAGGAGCATCGTGGTCATTCACAAGCGCTCAACGCATTCATCAAGAACACTGACAGTAAAGGAAATATAAACAAATTAAATAGGTTGTAGTAATAGGTTTTTACCCTTTAAACTGGTACAAAATCTGACACCTTTATACGCCTTTTGGCGTCATCTGGTCCAACACCAATGGAGACTAGGCTCTAAAGAAAGCTGTCTCGGGTGTGGACCAATCAACTTCAAGGACAGTGCATATCATTATCATCATCAGAGTTGTTTCTTTTTGTTTGCATTTTGACTTCTTGTGTTGAGGTTATTGCAAACATGATGCCTTGTATAAAGGTGTCAGATTTTGTACCAGTTAAAAGGGTAAAAACCTATTACTATATTTTGCCACTGGTAAAGGAGATCTCATAGTGTAAATTAAATAGGGTTAACAATAGGGTTATTTCATTTCTTTTAACACTGGCATTAGAACATTTTAATTGTTTATGATTTCAATTCATATTCTATTAATTACAATGTTTAATATAAATTTGTTCTCCTTCCCTTACAGGTGACATTTAAAAATGGAAAGTAAATTGCCTAAAGATCAATGTGTTCACTTAGTATGTATGTATGGTGAAGCGGGCAGCTGTAATCTTAAAGAGTCCTAAATTAATTTCAAAAATGCATGCATTCATGTCAATTGGTAGTCGGTTGGAACATTTGTTGAAATAAATATAATAACCCTATGTGTCTTGACTTTTATTCCACCCTGTATATATATAAATCTATCATCAGCAGCTGTGGGGAGAAATGGAGGGGGTGAGAATTAAGAGCCCTACCCAGCCCAGTTGTGTCGACAGCGGACAACAGTGGTGGTGGTGATGGTTGGGTAATAGTACATCATCTCTCTTTTCAAGGTTTTCCATTTTCATAGTACCATTGCCCGAAGCATCGCCTATTACATGTATATTTGTTCCTTTTGGGAATGTTTTCTTGACGAATGCTGCATTGAATTTTAATTTTATTTGATAGTGTAGTTGTGCTACCTGTACACTCTATAGCTTCGCGACTGATGAGCATGGCCACGATGGCGAGGACGATCTGACAGTGGCCTTGGCAGCGTGGTAAACACATATCTTCTGCGGTATCACTCAACCTCAGTTCCCCTTTGGTCAGCGCTTCCGATTGCAGAACGCGCGGTGCCCCATCGCAATCCGGACATGATTTGAATATTCTGAACATATCGGCGAGCCCTGCTCAGCCCATCAGACTGATACCACATTGTGCGAGACCATCTACCGTTGTCCTTCAGCGGTTCCCTCTTGTATTGCCACACAGGGTAAAACCTATTTCTATTTTTCAGCAGAGCGCTGCTCAGCCGCACCCATTGTTGTACTGTACGCTCTATGGCCCCGCGTCGATGCTCCCCACCTTCACCAACCCCGCGTGCTGAAGTACGGAAACGTAAACCCCCTACCCACACAACGGCGATGATGTGGGGAAGCCCTTATTCAGCAGTGGTCAGTCAAAGAGGTCTGTAAATGTATGAGGCAAAGTTCTAATTCACTCCGTTAAAAATGAAACGCAAATATGTTATCCATAAGAGTTTTTTGGGGTTAGATCGCCTAAATAAGAACGTGTAGTTAAACCCGCAAACACCCGACACAGTCAATGAGCAAGGTCTGTCACGTGAACAGAACTTGCCAAGTCGTTGCCCATCGAGCACTCCCGTGTGCATTTATGCGATCTAACCCAAAAACATCGATTGTGGATGATATTGGTCGTGAGAGCTTATGTATTAACCGAATATGTTAGTCCAACGACCTATTGGTCTTCTGAACCGATGCATATTTTCCAGCAGAATGTGTTGAAGCAGTCAATCCCTACGTTGGTCTCGATTTCTCTGAGCCTCGTCAGCAGAGTATGGTCATGTCTGCAGTAACCAACACACGTGAGTGGGGCTACAATTTGTCACGAGAAAGGTCATGTGTATTTGCTCTACGCCTTTCGGTTAATTGTCATCACCAGGCATGATCAATCCACTACTAGATAAAGACTGACCCCAATCCGTCACCATTTTACACGGTCCCGCGATGTAACAAGTCACCTGCACGCGACCCAACTTCGTCGCTCCGTCTCTCACTGTGCACGTCCTCTGTGGTGCGTTCCCGTCTCTTGCTGCCCCTTATTTTATTCTCACCGACCCGGCGAACAATCTAGCGGCGCGTTCTGTCCGTGCTCAGATCCTTCGCTTAACCGTCGATATTTTTTACGTCTGTAACCTCATGAAACATATGTTCTCTCTTTCACGTTGTTGTTCTTTCTTTCTCTAAATGCTATCCAAGGCATTCACCCCTCTGTGCTCTGTTGTGCTCTTGTACAGCATGTGTTCCAGCTCTGGTCCGTTTTTCTGATCCAGGTACCATGACAGGTAATAGACATTCATTACTGCTGTCATGATACTGGTGGAATTCTCGTGATTTAAAGAGACGGATGCCCTCTCCTAAACCAACACCACACTATTCTATTTACCAGCCAAAGCCCACAGAGCTTTTAAATATTTTCAGAGGCGACCTGGCCACACATGTTAGTTCATCAAAGTGGCATATCACGTGGAAATGTATATTTGTAGCCAACTAAACTAAACGCATTGACCTAAATGTAAACAGTGTAGGGGGGGGCATCCACGCATCCACCACGGGGAGAGATCATGTCGACTCAAAATATACCACACGCATCGACAGGGTCCTGAATGTTCGTTACCAGGCCATGAGAAATAACATCTCCACGTCACCGGGGCTGATACGTTATTTTTTAAGTGTCGTAAACATCCGTTCCGTCAAACTCACTGTGCCAAGAACATTGGCAAGATTTGCATATTGCGCTAAAGCGCCGCATTGGGAAGTTCGGTGACGCGTGACGGGGAGGGGCGCGTGACGGGGAGGGGGGCTTAAGGCGGCAGCCGCACCCCGGATGCTAACCTGGCCGTGCCAGCTCCCTAGTGGGAGCAGATGTTGTTTGGTGAGGATGGCGAGGGTCTGGTGAGTGTCTGGTGGGAATCTTGTGGGTGTTTGGTGAGGCTGCTGTCTCCTGGTGAGGCTGGTGAGTGGTCGAACCAGTGGGGTGGGATTGGAGGCTGGGCACCGCCCGCGTGTGTCACACCGCTGTACAACATCCAACCAGCACGATTCCTTGGTTTGGAGTTTTGCCCCTGGGCTATGGATTAAATACATGTTTATTACAGTTACGTGGAGCATTTTTATCAGAGTACATTTACTCAGACATGATTTATCCACCGCTGGATGCAGTGCCGGATTAAGCTAGTGCAGTGCTTGTAGCATATGTTTTAAAGGGGCCTTAATTTTTTTTTAAACATGAATATTAAAACACAATTGTTTTACTTGCATAGTAAAGTAATTGTATTTTTGCATTTGCTATACAGCCAGATAATACGACAAATCGCTAACCTTAAACACCCAGTCGTTCATAAAAGTTGAAGGCAGTATAGTACTATGGTAATAGAGCAAGTGCAGAATCACTAAACCGGAATTGATAGCTGAAGGCATTTAGCGCGAGGCCCTTAAAAGTGCGGGACCCGTAGCTACTATATATGTAGCTACTACATATGTGTAGCTGCTACACTACACATGTGTAGTAGCTACTGTTGCTGCTGGGATAATAATCCGGCACTGGCTGGATGAACACTTCCCCAAACTGCTGTGACGCCCTCACGGTAACGCCACGCATTACCTCTCCACCCGATGGATAATGGTCAAGGGCGCCTCTCAAGGTGAATTCTACACTAATACAGTCAACACATGCACAGGGATCGGTGGTGAGCGAACTGCAACATAAGCCCAACGACCCGAGTTGGATATCCAGCCACGGCTAACATCAGTGGCGACTGATGTCTGAACCGCTCTCCTCACCAATTCGCCCCTCTCCACGATCCCGCACTGACCCGCTTGGTGAAGTATGGTCAAATAATCCGCCCCCCTCTGCCCCACGATGCTTTTGCCTTCGTGGAAATGCATTTTGAGAATATCACCAAAAGACTCAGATATAGTCTGAACATTTTTTGGAGCTGGTGCCGTTCGCGATCACCTGTGAAGGCCGGAACGGTCGCCGTGAGGGTGGGTGGCCAGCACCAGCCCCGACCGCCTTTGTCTCTCTAGTGGCGATGTTTACACACCACGCCAGGTACTCATTTGAGGCTGAGTCTAACTAAGGGAGGCCCGCATCGGTTCTATAATAATCGTGACCAGTGTTGTCCCTGAGCGGGAATCGAATTCGGGTGGCCGAGTTCGTAACGTGGCGCAGCGCGCTAACCGCTGCACCACCGCTCCGCCCTCTGCACCTGCGCGATGGGCTCATCACAACCAGCGGGCACCGATTGTCCAACAGCCCCTCCCCCCTCCTCACCCCCATCCAGCCCCTCCCCCCTCCTCACCCCCATCCAGCCCCTCCTCACCCCCATCCAGCCCCCTCCACCCCCTCCCCTATCCCTCCTCCCCTATCCCCCCCCCCTCCCCTATCCCCCCCCCCTCCACAGCGCGCGCTCGAACTTCCCGCGCTTGTTCGTCGCGCGACCCCCCCCCCATTCCCCCCCCCCCATACCCCCCCCATACCCCCCCATTCCCCCCCCCATTCCCTCCCCTTCCCCCGCCGCCCCCCATTCCCCCCCCCCCATTCCCCCCCACCCCCATCCCCCCCTTGCACCCCCCGCCACACAACAGGCTGCTGCTGTTGCGTAATTCGTGAGGTAATTGTATTACTGCGACGTGTAATGAAGATTTGTTTTTGAGTATTTGTTAGGTACTTTTGTGTGTGAGGAGTTTAAGGGTATTTTATTTGGTCATAAACTACTGTTGGGTGTTTTTTAGAGCGTTTGCGATGTTTTGAATATTGTGAGGTGTTTACTTCGTGTCTCCTGTGTGTTTATGAGGTAAGTTTATGTTGAGTTTTTATTATAAGGTATTGTTTTGTGTATTGTTGAGGTATACTTTTATGTTTGATATATTGCGTGTATTTGTCTTGTGCCTTTTTGCATGTATATACTATTATATGTGTGTGTGCAGTTTTATTATATTATCCTAGTGATGCGAGTATTCTGGGAGTGTGTTCGCGAGATAATGTAATGTTTGTCGTGTTTTGTGCAGTTTTCACGATGTTTAAGTGTTTTAAACCATAAATCACAGCGCAGGGTGGTCCAGATGTCTTGTGACCCCCAATTAATCGGCCGCAAACATTTATTACCTTTGCACATTGATTTCTGTGTTCACACTCATTGTTACACACGAAACATTACGTTTTAGATAATCAAATGGGGTCACAAGACATCTGGAGCACCTTGTTAAGTCCTACTCTGATGTGCATTACCTCGGAATAACCTCACGATTGAACATCACCGCTAATTATCTCCACCACAGTAATTGTTCATCATTATTAATCATCACCGACATTAATTAATGACCATTAGTGACGCCACTGGCAGGCGAGATGAAGTCCACAGGATGTGATTAACTCCAGACAAGGCTAATAATGGTGATGTAACTCCTCATCGTCGTTATATTCTTTGGGTCTTTCGGTAAAGCCACGTAGATTTAAAAATCATCAAAATCACGACGTTTCGATTGCACCTGAAGACGATTGCTTGTGTTGCGATCGAAACGTCGAGATTTTCATCATTTTTATATCTACGTGGCTTTACCGAAAGACCCAAAGAATATGAATTCCTGCAATCACGAAAGCTTTAAGTCAAGAATCATCGTTATATTTGTGTATAGTTGTACACCAAAGCGACTGATGCATCCATCCAGAGTATTGATTATGGATGCAGTATACTAATTTGTACACTGCGGGTAAAGTCCATAGACTTATGCTAATAGATAATTTACACTCCTGGATGAAGGCCCTCCTACACCGTCCTGGTAATGGGGATTGTTTGCCAACACTCACGTATGAGATACTGTAAATCATGTCTATTGTGTATGCAGTATAGTGCAGGTATATGCCATATATGGTCGAATTTATGCTTTAGAAATTGGTAGTTGAAAATAAGCATCGACCAAGTGCGCAGCCTTTAATAATTATCTAGTTCCATGCTTACGTAATTAGTTTTCTGTGAACTGAAGTCCCGCTGCTATGTGAATGTGGGATTGTGACCACTTGCTCCGGGCTACTGATATAGATGAGCACGGCTTGTTTGAGCAGGAGTGACCACGTTCACGTGAAATGGCACGTGAGTGCGTATGGATTGCAGTCACAGATTGAGGCAATGAGATAGAGTATCACAGGACTGCGATTTATTTATAAAATTATTTATTTCCCTCACTTGCAGAATGGACAAAGAAGACGACTTTGTCATCCACACGGAGCATAAAAGACAAAGACTGGAGGTTGCAACCGATGGCAATGGTTGCTGTGATGTGACCTGCAGAACACATTCACACGGCTCCAGCCTTCCAAAAGCTGAACCCCCCAAAGACTCTAAGACAGATGCAATGTGTGACGCAGTTAAAACTACAAATTTTATGGGTAAAATAGGTGATGCTGTGAAACTGTGCAAGCACGTGACTGAAGAACCTCGTGACGCTGTCAAGTTCTGGCCTGGCCGCAGCACTGCGCCTATGCCTGAAGACACCAGGCAAATGTTGCACATTTGCAATATAATTTATAAGCACTATATAGAGGCAAGCGAAGAGAAACGTTTACAAGACAACAAGGGCACACAGTCTAGTCACATCATTTGGAACCTGCCTGAAACAAATGAGTTGCCAGAAGTGAAATGTAAAATAGAAGCAGTGCATGATGAAACACAAACAAAATACGAGGGTCAGATCGATGCATCTACTGAAAGTATAATAAACAGTAACTTCACACAGGGTGGTGTAAATGGTTTACAACTTTCTGAAAAAGGAAACGATAATGCAAAAGACAACATGTTTTCCAGTAAAGAAGAAACTGGTAATGTAAATATTGCTGACGAAAATTACAGCAAAAGTTGTTGCCTGCCTGACAGCGCAGATATTTGTACAGCATCGCAGGAGCCAAGGGCACCCACAATTTCACCACAAGACCGTATTTCTACATCATCTGTTAATATGGAAACCAACACAGTTACCAATGGATCAAACCAGAACCAAAGTGGCAAGGAAGCCCAAATGAATGGACTTGATCGTGTCAACAAAACACATCAAGTGGATGATGAAAAAGTGTGCAAACAGCTACATGATAAATCTGCTGATGCTGCTGCAATCAGTTCAGTTAGCTTATTTATGTCTGAAACACATATGGGTATTACCAATATACAGAAAATAAGTGATATTAAATACACAACAGACCCAAACAAACCTATTCAAGAACTTGGACAGCTCAAAGTGCAATTGCCATCAAATCTAAGTGAACGATACTGCAGTCAAGATAACATATTTATTCCATCATGTAGCGTGACTCGTGTTCCAATTCTCACTCTAAATTTTGAGAAAAATAATGCTCATCCATCAAACACTGTGGAGCAAGAAAACATCTTGGTCACCAGCAAAAACCCTGATGTAACTACTTCAAACAATAATAGCAACTCACTCTCTGAAAGCATTGATGATATAAGTGTGGCTGAACAAAATGATATCAACTTAAAACCCATCACAACAGACCTCTGTAAAGATGGCAATATCGACGAAGCTCATGAAGGTGTGGACTGCAGTGTGAGTTCCGGTTATTCAACAGGCAACATTTATGTGGGTAAAACATCACCATACCTGGTTAATGAAAACAACATACAATGTGACTTTGTGAATAAAAATGCATTAATAAATAAAACGTCAAGTTTTTACCGTAGCACTAAATTCAACGGCGGATGTATCAATGCAAATGTAAACCCATGGCATCTCGTAGGTGACCACTTCGTCATGCACAACGCGGAAGATTTAAACTCTGATTTTTTATTTGCACAGGATTCCCACAAAGCAGCTATATGTGCTGAAGATTGTGAAGGAGAGATCTACCATGAGTCCAACCACGCTAAATTACTCACTCTGAGTAATAAGGATCTTAACAATGTGAGTGTGACGCAAATTGCCCAGAGCAAGAGTGTTGCTATCCAAAGTTGTAAGTGTTTACCTGACTTAAACTTAAACAGCATATGCAGTTCCTGTGTAAGAAATGTCCCTCCTTTCAGTGATCAAAGTAAACTTTACAAAGTAGATCCTGAAGATATGACTTCATGTCAAGTGGTGTGTGTGAAAGATAAATTAGATATATCTTGTGCAAGAAAATTCAGAGATGTGGATGATAGGAGCACAACTGGAGGACAGAGAGAAATGCACATTGAAGGGTTAACATCGGGTACAAACACGTTTTTGGAAACCAAAGAAGCAGTACATGAACAAGACGGCGGGAGCACAAGATATGATTTTATGAAACGCAACGATCAAAGCAAAAACATTGTCTTATCCGGTGCAGATAGAAATGAAACGGATCCAATTAATCGTGCAAAATATGTTGATTATTTAAACCAAGAGCGTCATGAAGTATATTTAGTCCAAAAACTAAATCCCACAAAGAGTAGCATTTCAGATGGAGAAATAGAACCCAGTGATGTGAATGAGGTTTACAGTGATCCTATCGGCAACACAGAAGTGAACACACATGCATCAGATTTAATATTGAAAAGCAAGAACATTAAAAGAATTGGGTTTGACAATTTGTGTTTGTCATATCAACTTGATGACAATTTTATAGATGAATCCTGTATTTATGACTATAACACTAAAATAATAAACGATGATGCTTTCACAAGGCATACAGATATTACCAAACTGTCAATACATTATACGAATAACAACATATTTTCAACTGGCAGTATCATTAGAGGGAGTGACTCGGAGGCAAAAGGCATGACAGAACCTGGCTTACAGCATACACCACACGCAAGAACCGATTGTATACAGTTACACCCCGATGATTCATTGGAAGTGAGGGAAGCGTTTATTTTGGACACGAATGAAAAAATAACACAGATTGTTCCATACCATAATTCTCCTTTGGAAACTTCCAGCGCACCAATAAATGATGCAGCATCAAACCATGAACAGATTGTACCAAGCTATGATTCGGAGTATTCAGAAATTCTTTGTGCACCAGAAAACAATGCAGAGTCGAACCAATATTCACCAATAAACACGCTTTTTATTAACCCTAATACAAAAGAATGCATTAATGAAAATGGAAAAAATGACAAGTGCAACAATATCTTAAGAATGGATCCTCCCATTATAAAAGACATGTTACCAATAGATGAATGCGATCATCTGGGCAAAACACAACCGTGCTGTCAGTATAAGAAATTATTTAACATTGTGATTGAAGAGCTGAAACACTTTCATGAAGCGAACAATGAAATGCAGCGCAATGAATCTGAGCAAGCATCCGCAGCAACCACAGAAGATGCTTATTTGATTGATGCCACTCGTAGTTACTCAATAACAGCAGCGTGCAGCCGTGTGCAACAGCCAGAAGCCATCCTACCAGACGTGGAGCATTTTGGCTTGGACAGGAAACCCAGAGCCACCGTTTCTACAGTGTCACCGCTGACATGTGATCTGTCCGGACAGGAAGATGATGCAAGTAATGTGTTCTCTCCTATCAAAGGTGAATGGTTTTTACTCTTTATAGCAAGTAGGTGAGACTGTGAATGTTTACAACATAGTTGACTACTGATTGTGATCAGTGTAATTTATTGACAACACAACTGTCTGTCATTGTATTAACATAATGTATTGTATGTGATGGGGTTGGAGGGTAGGGAGTGAGTGGTGCGACAGTGTTTAACGCACAGCACTTTGAAATCTGTGTCTCAAGTGATCCTGAGCATGGCTAGCATGAGCGGTGAATGATATCTTAAACCATTTCCGGGACTCCTTCACTAAACTGACGAGTGATGGTGAAGCATAATCAAACAAGCCCCATAACTGACACGATATGATGAGGCTTTCATTCAGCAGTGGATTGGCTAAAGAATATACATTTTTTTGGAACATGCGCAGATGATCTTTGAGACACAACTTAAAATAACCAAAACATTTCGCCCTTATGTAATGGAAACATTAAAACATCTTTGTAAAAATTTGTACAAAAGATGACATTTACCAACGTATGCTTTGTCAACGTATTTGAGCATGAACAACGGTGAAAGTTAAATATTCCTCTGGCAGGAGACATATAATAATTTATTTATTTTAACAATATAAATAAGCTGCTGCATATTCAACTGCAGCTAATCTTGATACTATTCCTGCAATTATTGCCCTTAAATAATCATCAGCAACATATTTTGCAATGGATGATAATTTCAGGTAAACTTTTAAATTAATTCACACTAAATGGTGATCTGAGATGTTTTGTATCAGTGATATTAATGTGCACTAAAAGTATACATTTTCTCAGTTTTTTTAAATGAAAATTATAGGGTTAGGTGGGAATGGTGGCAAAGTGAATGGTTAGTATACACTGTGCATTGAACACAGTGACCTAAGTTTTATTGCTTGCCATGGTTAACACCAGTGGCGAGGAATATCTGAACAAGTCCTGGGTTTCCCCCCTTCTACAGCCTGCACTGACAAGTATGGTAAAGTATGGTCAAACGGCAATGGATTGACAAGGGGCTGTGAGTTGGCATTACTATTTTATAATTGGCATAAACTACCACCACAAACCTGACAGGCTTAGCGGCGGTTGCTGTGTGGACTTGCAGGTAATCATAGACTATAGGTATGCTTTTCAGAAGCAATAACGGGGATTTTCTACCAAGAACAGTGTGGATGAGGTTTAATGTAAAACTCATCATTGCCATTCTACATATACAATTTTGTCACAAACTCAATATGTTTCATTTGCTTTTGTCAAGGAGACCACCAATGGAAATCAGCATATTCCTTTACATCACCTGCATATGATGATCATCAACAGCCTTTGTGTACAGGTACGAACCAAATTTGTCAGTACACTTTATAAAGTTACTATTAAAATGGTGTAATCTATGACCAAATCACCTGAAATGCACCCGATCATGCCAGATCTCGTAAGCTAATTATGGTTGAGCCTGGATGGTATTGGGAAAGATGACCACAATGTGCATGAATAACACTTGCTCTCCTGTATGGCTGGCATAGAGGAGAGCATAGCAAAAGTAGTGTGTTGTATAACCTTCCGTGTCTATGCCCCTACTTTCACAAACCACACTGACCAGCGTGGTGAAGTATGGTCAAATAACCACTACGACTCGCACAGCGAGGGGAGCACCTCGTCCAGCATTTAATCGACAAAATTCCTCTACATTAGCAAAACAATGTAAATGAAAGTAAATCTGAATCTTTATTTAAACTAGAGGAATCTGACGAGCTATGAAGGTCTTTTTTCATCCATAAGAGGTTTTTTGGGTTAGATCGCGTAAATATATATATGTGTCGTTAAAACCCGCCACCACCCGACACAGTCAACTAGTAAGGGTTGTCATGTAAACAGAACATGCCAATTCGTCACAAGTGCAGCACACCGGTGTGTTGGAGAGCCAGGCCACAACATTTACAATCTGAGTACGACGTTTCGCCAGTAATTACAACTAGTTTTATCAGGCGACAGACAGATTTGTGGAGAAGTCCTCCTTGTTTCGTTCCTTATATAGAGGCGTAGATGTGGTGACCACACTGCTGTGCTCTTGCGCAAAGTGGGGGGGGGGGGGGATCAGTAAACCCAAGTTTTTCGGTTTACGAATCAATCAGTAAACTCAAGCATTTTAAGCACTCCGTTTGTTGAATGATGTTGTTTCTGATATCTATAACAGGTGAAGGGAATGAAACTGGATTTTTGTTGAAAGAAAGAACATGATCTTCGTTTTTGAGTGATTTATGAGCAATTTTAATGTTGACGTTTGCTATTGAATTAAGTTGAAATCGTGTTGGAGATTCTGTTTGACTTACCCGATACGAGCATGACAGTGTCATCAGCAAGTTCTAAGCGATTTACGTTTAGCCCTAGATTATTTAAATATAAGGAGACCAGAATTGGACTGAGCACAGAACCTTGTGGAACACCTTTTGTTATTTATTTTAATATTTGTGGACGAGATGTTTTCACTGTGTACCTTTTGAGCACGGTTTGAAAGGTAACTCTTTTGACAAGTCCAGGAATAGTGCATGGCAGTAGTGGGCTTAATCTAGGTCACTGAAGAGAAAACTTAATACATCCATCATTGCTTTCTTCCCGCGCACCCCTGATTAGCATGGTTGGTGATGTACGGTGTGAACGAAGGTCAACATATACATACATTGCTGTGGGAGCGCAGTAATCCCCATGAAAACCAGACTGTCTACTATGTAAGCGATTATGACTTTTTAGGTATCAGTTCATTTGTGATTAAATAATTTTTTCGAATATTTTAGTAAATGGTAAAATAATAGAGATTGGTCTGTAAAATAATTATTAGGGTCTTCTTTGGAGCCATTTTTTATATACTGGACAAATAAGAGCAGATTTCCACTCTAGTGGAAATGTACCTTCGGTAAGTGAGAGGTTGAAAATGTGAGGGATTTTATATGAAATCTGCCACAGCCGCGAGTGCAAATATCAATGTTCAAGTATCACTGTTCAAAATTACTTGTACACAAAATTCCACATTGATGATCGGTTCAGTGAATGTTGAAGCTGTGTGGTCATTGAAAAATTGCCCGTGAGACCGCCTCTCCTCTGGAAACCATTGAGGTCAATGAAAATCTTGGGGAACACCATACTGGGAAACATGGTTCAGCAGAGTGCTCATACTGTACTACTACGTGCAGCTGCTAGATCACTTACCCATTGCTGTTTATTAATTTTGCAATATTCTTTTAACACAGGAACTTTGCCAAAAGAAGATGTACCGGTGAATAGAGTTGCTCCGCTAAACACTTGCACTGGACTCCGCCGACTAGGCTTATCCAAATACGCAAAAGTAAAACGGCTGCATCCATACCTCAACTAATATTATTCTCTACTTTACACTCCCTTTAGTGGCTCTAGACCCAGATTTATATTTTCTGCATTCCATATATTGTGAGTTACCAGCAGACCTGTTTTCAAATGCTCTTTCTGAGTGAAGTTTTGGACATTCTCGGACAGATCATTTTCTCCCATAAGCTAGGATTGAACAGCATTTACTGGATGTACAAGTATAAGTAGCAAAATGTGCTTGTGAAATTAAAACACATTTTCATTGGACATAAGTAATGTGGATACAGTATAGTGTGGAAATAATGATCTCTTTATTTCTTGTTGCATTATCTTGAAGCGTTAATCCATATATTCATATACTTCTCATTATGTCGTTTTGTGGTGTTTTATTCATGTTACACTTATCCCATTATTATTTAAATAATTAATCCTTTAACATGCTATTTTACCTTGGAGAGCCTTACTGAGTTTCATGACTTTTTCAGGAGGGTCGTGCCATACCTTCGCAACAATGGTGAATAATTTGCGTACATTTTTAAATTGTGACAAATTTAGACCATTAACCATAATAACATGTTTTTTTTACTAAATGTGTCGTTTAATGTACATTGTGATGACATCACCTTTACTCTAACCCAAAAACACCATTGTTATGGATAATATTCGTCGCGAAAGCCTACGTGTTAGACCATTAAGCTGACACACAATAGCCTACACTTGTGAATTAATGACATCACGAAATTTTTTACATCCACTGTGAAGCAGGCGACATGTCGTACGGTATATTTATGGCTTATATGCCCACAATATTAATCAGGGAGGCCACTGGATTCAAACCGTAAAACCTCCACAACAAGCGGTGAATACGCTCCCGCTGGGCCATCTCACCGCCCACGTAAGTGTCTTATGTTAATGCAGAATATTTCCTTCGTTCTGAGATCTCAATGTATGTATTATGTTGACTTCTTTTCGCACCGTACGAAGCCAACCGTGCTAATCGGAGGTGTGGGGGAAGGTCAACAGTTAGGACATATGTCAATTTGGATCTGTTGTACCATGTTTTGGACCTTGTTACAATATTTTAATATACCATTTGTTAAATGTTTATGGAAAATTACAAAATAAAATGCTTTAAATGTTTCCCCTCTGCATTCCCTGTGCTAAATACATTATTACGAAATAATTATAAGAAAACAAAATATTTTTCCTGGTATTGGTGTTTTTATCCATCTTATTGATTTTTCAAACCCTTTTAGTGACGTATATTGAGTCACTACGGCGCTTTGCGTCAGCTCTTGAGAATAGAGAGGAATCTTCTTGGTTCTTTCGGTAAAGTCACGTAGAAGGGAAGTAATAAAATAATAAAAATAAAACATAATAAAATAATTCTCACGACGTTTCGGCCACAACGCAAGCAGCCGTCCTCAGGTGGAGAACAGGTCCGTCAAGTCTGAAAAAAAATAGAGAGGAACTACGCGTGTTATCGCCTCTCTCTGGCACCAGGGTGTGTATGCCATGGAAGGGGCCCCTAGGGGGCATGGTTCCGGTAACGGGCAGAGAGAGGGCTTGCCAGGACATGGGTGAACCCGAGAGGGCACGTGACCAGGACAGGGTAGCGAGGTGGGCCCGAAGGGGGCGAGCGGGACACGTGACATGCAGCCGAGAACCTTCTGGTCGGATCCAGAAGGGGGCGTGGCCGTGGGCGGAGCCAGGCCACGCTCAGGCGCATATAAAGGAGCTCTGATAAAAAAAAATTCATTCTGACCACAAGTATTGTGGTTAATGCAGACATGATTCCTTGTAAAAAGGTTTCAGTTTTGTTGCCAGAAAAAAGGGGAAACCCCTATTCTTATCGTATGGAAGCTGATGGGTAGGGGGCCGTCCATAAATGACGTAACGCGATTTTGGACGATTTTTGACCCCCCCCCCTCGTTACACGGCGTCACAAAAAGTCAGACCCCCCCCCCCTCAAATATGACGTAACAAAGCTCTGCCCCCCCCCCCCCCAAAAAATAAAACATGCTTTTCAAATAGCTTTAAACTATTGTCATTGTAGAGCGTATTTAATGTGCTGCTGCACTCTGACGTAGGATAAAACATCTATTTAAAAGTATATTTTATTAAGTACAACGTGTTTATATTTATTTAAAGTTGCGCATTTTTACGTGACGTCACATTTCTCAAACCCCCCCCTCATCACACATCGTCACAAATGTCTGACCCCCCCCCCCCTAGGTGCGTGACGTCATTTATGGACGGCCCCTGAGCCTTCAGGGTAAAACACTTCCCGCTCGTCTCACTACTCCCCTCTACGCACTACGACCTGCTGCTGAAACCCCCAGTCCTCAGTGGAAGGTCGATCATTCTCCTTTTCTGCCCCAATGATTTGGAACTCCATTTCCCCAGCCGTCTGTACTGTTGACGCCCTACCCCTATCCAAGTCCTTCCATGTTTGCAAATAGTCCTTTAACGCTGGTTTGTGTTTCCAGGTTTTGGAACACGTGTTTATCCATTTGGATCTAGATAGCTTATTGCATCACGAGAACGCGAGGGATGGTGATGACTTGGGCAGTCCTTCATCCAACAGTAGAAATAGCATGGCGGTTTATCTTATCTTAACATCATTTATATAGCGCCTTGACCAAGGCGTGTTACAGAGAATTAAGAATGATACATATGAATGTAATGGTGGAGATGAGGTGAAGAAAATAGGTGAGAGGAAGTAATGGGCGAATATGATGCGTGAATTAGGTAAAATAAAAATTGATGAAAGCAAATGATGATCATGAAAGAATGGTTTTAATGAATGAGTGGTAGCAATATAATGAGATTATGAAGAGGCCGCGGGTACGGTAGTGCTTATAAGGGGGATCTTAAGGGATCGTTTGGTGAGCTAGAAAAAAAAGTGAGTTTTGACGGAGCGGAAACGAGTGAGCAAAGATGACTGCTTAATGTGGAGGGGAAGTTTGTTCCAGTGAAGGGGGGTAAGAATAGAGAAAGAGCGAAAGCGTAGGTTGAGCACAAGCAAGAGGAGGAACATAGAGAGAGGACAAAGATTGAGAACGTAGAGGGCGAGAAGGGACATAGAAGGTTACTAGAGTGGTAAGATTTGGTGGGGCAATACCATGAAGGGATTTGCAGACCAGGGTGGGGATTTTGAACAGGCAACGGTAGTACACGGAGCCAATGTAGTTGAGCGAGGAGAGTCGAGGTCTGAGAATTGTCGGGAAGGTTGAATATGATACGTGCAGAGGTGTTTTGGATTTGTTGAAGGGGGGCAAAATAGTAAATGGGAAGACCAAGCATAAGAGTTCAGACGATTATGGATAAGGGAAAGGATGAGGAGTTTTGCAGCAGAGGTAGAAATAAGCGGACGGATTTTGCAAGTGTTAAACAAGTGAATCCGGCAAGCGTGGGTCGTGGCGGAAAAGTGATTGGTCGAGGGAGAGGGGAAGAGCTGCTGCTGATGATTATTTGCTACTTTGATGAGCCAAGAATGTCTGTGTCCCGCGCGTGACGTCACTCCACGTCGATCAGCCCCCCTCATTAAAAATCATGAACAGGTTACGTCCTCCACATGGACCCCCCCCCTCATACATAATCATGAGCCGGTGACGTCACTCCACATGGAGAACCCCCCTCATTAATAATCATGAGCAGGTGACGTCACTCCACATCGAACAGCCCCCCTCGTTAATAATCATTATAAGGTGAAGTCCTCGAAATCGACCCCCCCTTCATAATAATTAACGGCTGACGTCACTCCACATGGGGGGCGAGGCGCCTCCTTCCCCCTCCTCGGCGTCACTTACAACCCTCACGACAAAGGCAGAACCCTCACGTCACGCCATCTCCGTGACGCTGCTGTTGAGACATCGAAGTAAAAAGGACGTCTGTGTCACCGCGGCCTTACAAATTGCACACGAATGTATATATCACGTCGCGGTCTGCTTTTCGCTTGCAAGTTTTAGATTTACTGCAATACACCCGTCCTTGGACGGGCAAAATGATAGCTTTTATTGAATGTGCATATGATGAACTAATGGTTACAATTATTACCCTAAATAATACCCATATCCATTCAATGCAATGCAACAGAAAGGAACATGACCTAATCCATCTGTGTTATCTCGTGCAATCGTATCACACGTGGCAACCAATGCCAAAATAATTAGGCCAACCCTTTCTGCATTTTTGAGTCTAAAAACAATTTGCACGCGGTGGCCACAAGGGGTCACGCGCATCGCGTCTGCCAGAACATACAACACACTGAGATGAGAGGGAGGGAGAGGTAGGTGAGTGCCTTGGAGGTGATATGGGGGGAGGTAGGAGAGTGAGACGAGAGGTAGGAGTGGCAGTGTATTGGGGTAGTGGCGTGGCCTGGCGTGAGCGTGTTCACAGATTGTCGAAGATGTTCACGGGTCGATTTACGGCAGCCGCCCTGGTTATTATTGCGGGTGTAATGTGTTCACCAGACCATATTGTGTTCACCATACCATACGCGGACGTCCAAGATCCCGTGTCATAATTCGCAAGCGTAGGCCATTGTGTGCCGGCGAAATGATTCAAAGTTTTAAAATTTGTAAAGTTACCGGCAAATTCAGAATTGTGATGACACGATATCATCGCCCCCTACTGCGACAACTTGACAGGACCCTCCTGAAAAAAAGTCGTGAGACTGCTTGAGGCTTTTCTCGGTTAACTGATCCTTATGGCGGAACTCCGGGGTACCCAATAATACAAAATGGGCGAGGCAATTAAAGATTTTATTTCTGGGACACTATTTTTTCCAGGAGTGTACTTAACTCCGCGACTGGGGTACCAATCAATCCAAAATCAGTGCTACTCCGCGATGTCGAAACGCATCGAGAAGGATTGCGCTGAAACCATGAACGCTCGTACGCACCGTAGTGGTGCATCATCGTGTACAGCTCGCCGAGATAAGTCGATTGCCGCATCGCCGACCATCAACAGAGTAAAAATGACTGCATCACGGAGTGCTATGATGCTCTGGTACCCCGGGGTACCGCCAAAAGGTTAAACTCGCGTAGTAATAAAACAAATGTCGCCACACTATGCTCGCTGCAGTCTTGTGCTGTAACACGGTGTGGCAGTGTTGGGTAATACATGCCCCAGACGATAACTATTTTATAAGCGAGCCGTGCCTCGTCGTTTTTTCATGTTTTTAATTAAGGACTGCGCTATAATTACACTCATCATCAGCCATGATCTAGCCACTACTGGAGGAACGCTTCCCCAAACAACCACCACACCGCGGTCCTGCGATGCAACAATCCGTGGAACACCAGACGAATAGACGATGTCACGTGTTACCCATCCCTCCATCTCCACGTAGGACCTCACGGGTGCATTATCTCCTTTGGCTGCCACTCTGTGGTTAGCCTTGATCACGGGCCATCACCATCTTGATTCATTATCCCTTCCCGCCAGGATGTGTAATTAGAGTTCCAGAGGGAATATAAGTGGTTCCTGTGCGTCCGAGTCTCGTATTCGCACATTCATGGCAAGGGCTGTTCTTGCAAAAGTGAAATTGATTTGTTAGGTATGGTAGCTCTGACATAAGCCGACCCCGTCAGTGCCGGCAAGGATCGCAGCAGTGTGACATCACGATTGCCTGTGTCTGGGTGGATTGGGTAGGTTGCCGGTTACAATATGATGCAGGGTGACCCATTTATAGATGCCCCACTGCTTTCTGATGGCTGCTGTGACTTTCTTCCCATTCGCTATAATATACACGCCTAAATAACATTTAAAGGCCTTTTGCAAATCCACTGGTGAATGAGGGCCTCCCCACGTCGCAAGGGGCATGGAAATATTTGACCAGACTTCACGCTGATATACTTCACACTTTTTAATAGGTTGGAAGAGACATGATCCCCTGTCTCCTTGACGAGTTGACCTGGGCCCCCACGGCTTCTTTCCTCCTACCTTCCTGCCACTACTTAATGCCGCGAGTCGTTGAGCCTCATCAGGTGAGTGATGGCAATGGAAATGTTATATATTTGGTCCTATCAGCGAGCATTCTGTGTGTGTGATCCATGCTATGGTCAGGGGCGCTATATTTACAATAGCGTGCCATATCACACTATACGGGCTGTATAACCCTGGTGTATTTACTTCTGGTGCGGCTGGGGTTGATGGTAAAATCCAGGTCATGCTGTGTGGGGTATGTGTTGAATGTCACGCAATCAGGTGGGTGATATAGATATGATTACAAAAAACGGTTGCGCTGGGTGGGACTTGTTCAGCATGGGGGAGGGTCGATTGCCGAAGCAGGTACCTGAATGGTCTATATGATTGTGGCGATCTAGGGAAAGAGTAGACCTCAGGCCAGATGGTGGTTGTATGCCATCAGGGCAAATCTGTGGGTCTCTGCGTGAATCTATTTGTCTCTGTGTAAGCCTGTGGTTCTATACACCTCGCGCCTTCCCCAACCCGCACTGACCATCATGGTGAAGTATGGTTAAATGACCCCCACGACTCGCTCGGTGTGGGGAGGCCCCTCGTCCAGCAATGGTTTTACAAAAAGAGCTGTGCTCTGTTGCTAAGTGAAAGCCAGCAAGACGTAAAGATGCGGCCCTGCAACTGTAGAGGGGAAGTTTCGCCTTCTCATTCACACTCGCCAGACATCTCAGAGGAGGTGGGAGTACCCAACTTTACCCCATGACACATGACCTGGCGATCTACTAACTGTGGTGAACCCATTCATACTGCTGGATGGAGAGAGGTAGGGGGATTAAGATACACGCGAGATTTGAACATATTGAGCTATTGAATCACTCTCGTTCGTCTCCGATCTGCTGCACTTGGAAAGCGAAATTCAATTGAGTAAGAAAAACAAACTGTCTATTTTGTCATTATTATTCATGTAAATTATCTCACCCGCAAATATAACGCTAGATTCCGGTATGGAGCATTGCGAAACGTGTGGTCTTGTACCTGATTAAGCTACAAACACACAGGTCCCACCTGTGGCAGCTCAATAAAAGCTGCACAGTGTGCAGGTGTGTGCAGGGTGTGTACACAGGTGTGTGCACGTCATGACCTTGCCGTGAAGACCCCACGTGGGGGCTGCCTTTCCCGAGCGTGAACACCTGAGCCAGTGAGACGTTTGCCTGTTTCAACAGAGAAACGATTTCCTCTGGACTTTACGAGCCTCCCTATCAATTGCCCCGTTTGCCATTGGTTCGTTGTTGTGTATTAACGTTATCTCCGCCGTTTACATGGCCCTGTAAATGTTGAACTTTGACTGGGTCCAGCTGCTGGTCATAGTGTGGGTTGAGGGCGCGCCGGGTAAATGACACGGGTAATTTGTTTTGATGGATTTAATGAGGATCGATGTACGTATTTTGGTCACATTTTATCAGCTTTGTGGCAGTGATGTTGATATATTTGGGACGTAGGTGGGGGGGGGTGTTTGGGGGGCGGGTGGGGCAAGCATCCATGGGAGCCTATGTTGAGTATCACTTTGATATTGTTCTTGTTCTACGCTTGCTAGGTAACTGGCTAAACGAGATTTTCTATGTAACAAATAAACATTGAATTGAGTCGAAGACAAGGGATTCATATCTGATCAACCTTGCAGCCACAGAGCCGTAGCGAGAGTTATACTGGATGTGGTGAGGCAGATGCATAAATATTTCCCGGGTCGCTGACCCAGACAGACCCAGCTGAAATCAAGCTCTGGTTGTAGCAAAAGTGGGCTCGTCAGAGAGGCCACTTTTAGGTTGGAATACACGACGCGGATATAGGCAAAAACATTACATGTCACCGGAGTAATGTGATTTTGATACGAATTATAAATGTAATGAAATAACATTTTAAATTTACATGCAATTTAAATAATCATGATCCAGCCCATCTCTGCATTATATGGGTTTCTCCCTCTTTCCCTCCTGCCCACTGGCTCATGAGTTCCTCCGCCCGGGAAACTGCAGGTCTTGATACGGCTGGAGGAGAGACACTGGTTCCACGGCATCAGAACAAGTGCGTACGGAGGGAGGGAGATTGTATTTGTCTGTGTGATAGGACAGCATATTGGCTCAGAAGTCGGGAGCGATGGAATCATCTCGCATGCGGGTGCTAAGAGCGTTGCATAATTAAGACCGAGAGAGATGGCAGTGGTTTGTGCAAACATTCACCTAGCAGTGGATAAATCGTGGCTGATGATTATGGGTCATCATCTGAGCCACAACTGAGATTGCGTGAAGAAAGCACCACACAGAGTACACCTTAAAAGGGGAGTCGGACGAGGCAGCACGCTTGCATCAATATCATCCACAGCGACAATAGATGTTTTCGGAAAATGGAATGGGTGGTGAGTAGGACATGGACATAACATGTTCATGTTACACGGGTTATGACCCAGTACCGGTGCAGGGTACAGATGAGCATTGGTGAAGGTCGAGAATGGTCCCTTTTTTGTCAAAGTAATAGTCTTGGGGACTCCCTTCCCCCAGGAATCCGTGCTGTCGACTCATTTGGCCTATTCACGTCCATGTTCAAGACCTTCCCCTTCTCCCCTGCCTATGACTGACTTCCCGTTTCTATAAAAAAAAAAAACTCTACACCCATTGTTTCTGTGCAGCGTCTTGAAATGCATCGACATACTCACCTGCCTTCGTAAACCCGCAATGACCAGCGTGGTGAAGTATGGTAAAAAAACTCTCACTGCCTGCAAGACATGGGGAGGCCCTCATGCGACAGTGGATTGACAAGAGGGCTTTACGTGCAGATGCGACATTGGGCCGTAATGCATTGAGATACAGAAAAAAAGAACACACGGATTAGAGGACATACGCAGTGCTAACTTATTCAGCGAGTGCTACACCTGCATATGTTAATGACTGAGAGTGGCTTGGGCAAAACATGTCACGGCTAGAAGAAGGGCTGATTCCCAATAGTCAAGACTAACTTTGGCACCTCAGCAACGCAACGCGTCCGAGAAGTTCCACCATACCGAGGAGACGGAACGATTAAATCAGCTCGTGTGCAATTGTTAGTGGATTTGGCAAAGCTGATGACGGTGGTGATTCACATGCATCAACGTATGGCACCACATTCGTCGTACGCGTTGTGAACTTCAGTTCATCCGATAAGCGGAGTCGAGCCGTGCAACAGCCGATGTCGCTGCCCTCAGCGATCGCTCGCTCATCACTCTCGCTCCTGGGCAGTCTCCACGTAAGGGGAAGCGGGTTATATCCCTTCCTCACTGACTTCCTTCCTCCATTCATTCATCAGTCATGATCAGTACACTGCTGGATGAAAGCCTCCCCAAGCCGGCGTCACCTCTCACGGCCAGCGATGTTATTAATCCACCTAACATCTGCATACAAACTGAATTCATCGCTCAATCTCCTCAGTTCACACCCTTTTCACAAACTCGCACTGACTAGGGTGGTGGAGTATGGTTAACCCCCAAGATTTACGCACCTAAATCATTCATTCATGTATCCAATTAGCCAGCTTCACTTGCCATTCATTCATTCGCTATTACTGCTCGGGTCGGTGCAAGGGTCACCAGCGTGAACTAAAAACCATCATGAGACTGTCGACGTTGTGCGGCCCACATCAGAGATGCGTAAAAATGTATACAGTGCTAATAATTTAATATATAATACAGTTCACAGGACGCGTATAGTGCACACGTATTAGCAAAAAAAAATTTGGCGGGAAAACTGCGGCGCAGCAGCCACGCCGCATGGCCCCCACCCACCACGAGACACGTAATGTTAATGCGCCCCGGCGGGCTCAGCCAATCAGACTGGCCGAACTTGCCGTCACGAGGTCGCTCGGACCCAAGGAGGCGTGGCGCCATGTGTTTTTTTTGGCGGGTACTTATAGAGAGTGGCGTGGGAGGCTGCGCGTCTCGCTCCACCAGGCTGTAGCGCATCGCTCACGCCGGTACCTGGAGCTCCGAGTCTCCACCCAGCTACACCGGGGTTCAACAGGGCTCCACCAGGGTCCTTTCGCGGTCCTCTCGGGGTCCACCAGAGCTGCACCGCGGCGCTTTGTCGAGGCCATAACCCGGATTTCGCATCCGGCTCCACCGGGGTCCTCCAGAGCTCCACCAGGGTCCTCCAGAGCTCCACCGGGGTCCACCAGAGCTCTACCGGGGTCCACCAGAGCTCCACCGCTGCGGCTGTTCGGACACTGCACCCGTCCCACGTCCACTCCTCCAGACCTCCTCCTGCTCTGAGCGCCACCAGCCGGACAATCAATCAGCTGCTCACCCTCACCAGGTGAGCGGGACGCGCGAGTGTGTGCGGGGGAGAGGCAGGGATGGAGAGCGGCAGTCGCCTTGATTGATTGCGGGGTGGTGGCGGTGGTGGCGGGGGGGTGTTGGTGGTGGGGTGGGGTGGTGGTGGTGTTGGTGGTGGGGTGGTGGTGGTGGCGTGGGGCGCGGATTGCCCGCGGCAGGGCGCGGTCGCCATGTCTCGGACGCCGTCTAAATGAGACTCGCTTAGCTAATTGCTAATTGCTCATTGGGCTGGCGGACCGCTCGTCCACACAGCTGGCCGACCAGCAGTTTTATTAGTGAGCGGGTTTTAATTAACGGCGCAGGAAGCGGAGAGGGAAGGAAGAGGAAGGAGGAGGAGGAAGCGCTGCGCCTGCTGGGGGCGGGGGGGTGGCGGCCTTCGCCGGGTCCCGGCACGGCACGCCCCTCCTCCTCCTCCTGCAGCAGCAGCAGCGTGCAGCGCCGATTATAGCTGCGCTGAGCAGTGGATAGAGCGTGTGTCTGTGTGTGTGTGAAGTGTGTGTGTGTGTGTGAAGAGAGTGTGTGTGTGTGAAGAGAGTCTGTGTGTGTGTGTGAAGAGAGTCTGTGTGTGTGTGTGAAGAGAGTCTGTGTGTGTGTGTGAAGAGAGTCTGTGTGTGTGAAGAGAGTCTGTGTGTGTGAAGAGAGTCTGTGTGTGTGAAGAGAGTCTGTGTGTGTGTGTGAAGAGAGTCTGTGTGTGTGTGTGAAGAGAGTCTGTGTGTGTGAAGAGAGTCTGTGTGTGTGTGTGAAGAGAGTCTGTGGGTGTGTGTGTGAAGAGAGTCTGTGTGTGTGTGTGAAGAGAGTCTGTGTGTGTGTGTGAAGAGAGTATGTGTGTGTGTGTGAAGAGAGTATGTGTGTGTCTGTGTGTGTGAAGAGAATCTGTGTGTGTGTGAAGATAGTCTGTGTGTGTCTGTGTGTGTGTGTGAAGAGAGTCTGTGTGTGTGTGTGAAGAGAGTGTGTGTGTGTGAAGAGAGTCTGTGTGTGTCTATGTGTGTGAAGAGAATATGTGTGTGTGTGTGGCGTACACGACTCGGCATGCACCCCGCGCACGTTCATGCGGCAACCGCAGGGCTGATGAGACACGCGGGCCCGATGGTGGACACGGCCACAGTGCTGCTGCTGCACTCACAGTGCTGCTGCATGCACAGTGCTGCTGCACACACAGGGAGCGGGCTGGACACACACACACGGGCTGGGAGCAGGAGACGGATATTGCCAAGCGCCTTGGGGTGTGCGAGGTGCGACTGTCACGCACGAGGGTTTCTTTCCTCGATGTGTCCCGGTCAGGAGTCGACCGGGGTACTTGAGCCAGAGGACACTGCTGGTTCTTAGTGATACAGATGATGATGACGATGAGGGATGGATCGTGATGATGACGGTGCCTGTTATCTGTTTGCTGACGCAGGTGTTGGGGATGTTCGGCACGATGGCCTCTGAGAACTGCAGCACACGCGACTACGCCATGCTGGATTCGCACCAGCTCTTCTTCTACTCGGAGGAGCTCGAGGATGGAAGCTTCTACCAGTCCACTGCTCCTAGCGAGGACATCTGGAAGAAGTTCGAGCTGCTGCCGACTCCTCCGCTGTCGCCGGGACGCCTCGAACTCGATTGCCTTCTCTCGCGCGACGGCTGGGACCCGGGGCCCGAAATCTTCTTGCCGAGCGCCAAGACCCTCGACCTGCTCGTGTCGGGCCTCCTGACCGATCGGGCCGTGAGCGAGAGCTTCTTCTGCGACGCCCTGGAGGAGGAGGAGACCGTCATCAAGCAGGACTGCATGTGGAGCGGCTTCAACGCTCACGAGAAGCTCGAGAAGATGATGGGCCAGCGCATGGGCCAGCGCGTGGCTCTTCTGCGCGGGGGCTACGTGGCGCCACCGTCTCCCGGCGATAGCCCAGGGGGGCCGTCGAGGAGGTTGAGCGAGAGCAGCAGCAGTAGCAGCAGTAGCAGCAGTAGCAGCAGCAGCAGCGGCAGCGGTTCAGATAGCGACTCCGAGCTGGACTACGGCTCCACGGAGGGCAGAGGCACGCACGGCCTGGACCTGCAGCCCAGATTCTCCCCGCGGACCGCGGGACTCGAGACGCCCAGCGATTCCGGTAAGGAGCGAGGAGAGATGAGAGATGTTTCTGTGCTGCAAGGGAGGAGGGGTGGAGGGGGGCGTGGTGAAATGTTAAAAGGTAAAGGTGCAGCCCTGAAACCGCTTGCTCGTGCCACTGCTAGCGGAAGGGTCTATACTCGAGGGAGCTCGCGAGAGGCCCGCTCTCTTTCACGCTGGCCTGACGTCTTGGAAGGAGCTGTAAGTCCCCACGCTTACTCCATCGTACGCAACCTTCCGACTGCGTAACTGTCGTGTCACCCAGTGATATTGCTGAGTGGACAGGAGCGGCAGTCGGCGCTTTAAGAAACTTGCACAATTTGGAAAGTGTGGTGTGACTATGTGGTGGTGGTAATCGAGGAGATGATGATGAATGATGCCCGGCTATTCTGGGCACCACGTTGAACGGCGGACGCCGGCTGGGGTGTCGCTCGGTCGCTCGCTGCCCGGAGACGCATTGGCTGCTGGCCAGACCTCGTCGGCGTGACATGATTTGTATGTTCTGCATGTACAGCCGCTGGTGCGGGTAATTGAGTTAAGCGAGTGTGATTCAGGGGAAAGTATGACGACGTGGCAGCTTGCGCGTGATTACTCGTGGTGGTTTGAATCGCCGTCACGATCAGCCGTGATCTCGACCCGTCGCTGAATGAAGGCCTCCCCAAAGCCGTTGTTATCCCTCCCTGTCCCACGATGCAATAACCCATCACCTCGCTGCTGCACAAGCCAATCTCTTTGCTCCATCTCCGTGATGACCGACGCTCCTTCTCGGTCGCTTTCCTTCATTTGGCTGCCACTGGAGTCGGTGTCGAGATGTTTTTCTCGCCCATCCCTTCCAGTGGCGTGCCCTGCCCGGCAAGCCCACTTCACTTTTCTTTACGCTCGTCATTGGTGGCTATAATTAGGATCTGGTAGCGGGCGTTAACCGGGCCACCGATGCTGGTAGTGCGGCGGTGACGGGGAGGGTTCGAGACGCGCAGTGCGAGGTGGTGGACGTGGCGGTAACGCGATGCCGCTGCCACACGTGTACCGGCCACTGTACTCTGATGAAAGGGGGGGCAGCCAATGCCCTCTCTCTCCCTCCTCCGTCTCTGTCACGCTCTCGCGTGTGGCCGCCTACACCGCGGGCCGCGAGTCTCCTCTCCCGGCCCCGTCCGTGGCGGATAAGTCGGCGGCTCCGCAGCGCCGCGGCAGCCCGACGAGGGCGTTGGGGACTTTGCACCGTCGGCAGATTTAGCAGAGGGCACTCGAAGGCCTCCTCCGGTGTCGTTGACGAGCGCGCGGTGGTGCCCGTCATCGTAGCGGCTGACATGTCGGCGCTTTGATACGGAGTGTAAACGTCTCTTCCTTAGACACACACACAGATGTGTCCTTGGACACACGCGCATGTGCGCGAGGCTCAGGGGCTTGAGGCTTCTTCGTGCGTTGAGTCCCGGTTCACAGTCTGGGAGCCGAGCAGGTCGTGGCCGCCGCGTTCGTTTGTGTCTCGAGGCCACGGCGGAGTGAGGTTTACGGGCGTCTCGCGTGGCGGAGACCTGCAGGATAATTCAGACGCCCTCCCCATTTCACTGCTGCACACGTCCACTCGAAAATGTGACCCAGGCCGTATGAAAATGAGCCGTTTAACTTGTCTCTAAATTGACACCGGCGTCAGCCGCTAATATAAAACATCGCGGGGCCCTACGACACAACCCGGAAAATCCGGGGATCAAATGTGGGGCTTTAAATCCGAGCCGCCAATTGTATGCATGCGCTGCCAGCTTCGGATAACTTTGTGATCGTCATGACATGCGGGCAGGTGACAGACAGATTGCAAGAGATTGTTAAAGTGCTCTCAAGAAAGGTAGGTGGACTGGGCAGGACCGTTGCTCGAGGCGATGATTTCTGGGGGGCGAGAATGACAACGGAATAGCAGCCAGAGGCGGGAACGCGCACGAAAAAGCGCCCCACCGCAGAGATTCGGCGCTAAAATCGGATCGTTTTGCGGGTTCTGGGTGGGCTGTGACTCCGCAGGACCGTGAGAGTTGGCAATGCATTGGGGGGGGCTTTCATCCAAAATGGGACTGGTTAGAATTGGCAGTGACGATGTGCGCCTGCTCCATCGGTTTCATTTCTCCAGACGGCGCAGAAGAGGGCCTTGCTTGAAGGGCGTAGCCTGGCGATGCCGCCCGCCCGCCCCAGTGAAAGTGGCAGTCGTTGCCGGCAGGTCGCGGCCGAAAGGGGCGTTAGGAAAAGTCGCCGCGTCCCCTTTAAGATGTTGATGCCGTTTTGTAGGTCAGCGGCGGCGGCGGGTGGGGGCGGTGGGGCGGTTGCGGCGGCTTGCATCATGCGCAGGGTGCAGACTGCAGCCCGAGCTGGGGGGGGGAGGGGCTGGCGGGGAGGGGGAGTCGTCTGCGGACCCTCCCCGCACACACACACACACGCGTGCACGCACAGCGACGTGCACGCACCCACACACACGCACGTGCACACGCGAGGCTGTTCGCAGCTGCAACGGACCTGGGGATGGAGCTGTAGAAATCTGCGGGAATCCCATCCATTCATTCCGGCCGCGCGGTATCGCGCTCACAAAGGGAACGCGCACGGCGATGACGACGACGACATCGTCGCCGCGCCTTCCGTGCTTTTGTCGATCCACTGCTGTTCGAGGGCCTCCCCGCGTTGCGGTGTGCGGTTCCGGGAGGTTCATTCGAGCATATGTAACGCTGGCCGCTACGGGTTGCTGAATACAGGGGAGCATAGACGTGGGACCGTAGTGCAGCACAACCATGGAATCTTTCAGTCCGCACTGAACTAGCGCACGGGAAGCAGTCCCGATAAGGGTGCTTGCTGGGTGGCCCCGTGTCCCAAATCAGGGCCTCCTTTCAACCAATCTCTAACCACGCCAAGTGGGCTCACTAGCCGTGCAGCAGCACACGTGTCAGTTCATTTGGTAAACGTCAGCGGCTGTATCGTGGAGGGCGTATGAGGGAGGAGGAGGATGTGAGAGTGTAAATTTAGAGAAGCCCACTTTTTGTTCCGGGCTGTCGAGATTCTGGACCGCGCCACCTTGCTCGCTCATGCGAGTTGGCGGCCACCCTGCCAGTGGCAGCCTCCGGCGGTGGTGGCTGCTGTTGTTACAGCGTCGCCAACTGCACACGGGCTCGGAGTTGATTTTAGTCCCCTGTGTCAATAAACCCATACCACCCCCATTGTGACCGTGTGGCCCGCGCTGGTGACCGCAGCACGCCCGGCGGGAGCCGGCGCACTCGGGTTCGTCACCCTTCCCGGCGTCGTTCCAGGACCCGCGGAGCGCCATCGCACCACCGCCCTTGCATTGACGTCAGCTGCACGCGCGGAGCCTGTGATGTCAGCTGCAGGGGATTTTTTAACTCTTGCGGCGATAACCCCGGGGCCGTGAGATGAACCGGCAAATGTAACAGCATCACAAAGACAATCCGTCGTAATTCTTTGGGAAATGTCAGCTTATTGAAATTGCGCTTCAGAGTGAGACGGGGTTTAGTGTAATTAAAGTAAACGTGTCACGTTTTGCTTGGGCCCTGCGACTTGTGCTTTTTGTCCGACCCACGCGAGGGATTTAACGATTCTCGCTACGAGTAGACGTGACGGGAACGAGAGAGGCGAGGGATGTTTTTTATGCATTGTCCACGTTTATTCGTTCGAAATATTGAGCACGAGGTTTGCACGCGATGGAAATGGTGACGCTTGTCGGTTTGAACCTTGGTGTGAAAAGTTTGCGAGCAAAGCTATCGCATTTCTATCAGCCAAATGGCAGTGACCTGAGGGTGGCAGCACGTGTGTTTATTCAGCGTGGCCGGTGGCTAGCGGCTGTGTCTGTCGATCCTGTGACGAAAGCTACTGAGCAGCTTTCCAGGACCTCAGTGGCAGTCTTTCCCAGTATCGCAAAGTATCTGTGAACATCAAGATTTTGTCTCCGGCTTAAAATGTTCGCACCACGTGTCCCAGGCGTTTGGCAGTTTTAGTCATAACGTCGCGCACACGTTCCCCACTGACCCCCCCCCCCCCCCCGTGTTTCTGTTTGAGCAGAAGAAGAGGAGATCGACGTGGTGACGGTGGAGAAGAGACCGGCGGTGACGCCGGGCGACGCAGGTGCCATCTCCGCGAGCAGCAACACCAACACGGCAGGCATGCGCCTGCAGTCCGAACCGTGCGACCACGCGCTCAAGCGCTGCCATTTCCCCATCCACCAGCAACACAACTATGCCGCGCCCTCCCCTCCCAGCCCGCCGCCCACCAAGCGCTGGAGGACCGAGGCCGCCGCGACGGCGGTGGCCGTGCGCGGCGCGGCGCGCGGAGAGCCGGCGCGGCTCCCCGCACTCGCGCGGTACGGCGGCGCTGGCGGCAGCGGCAATGGCGGGGCGGGGGGGCGGCTGACTAGCAGCGGAAACAGCACGAGCAGCTCCGATTCGGAGGAGAGCGAGCGGCGGCGCACGCACAACATCCTGGAGAGGCAGAGGCGCGACGGGCTGCGCTCGAGCTTCCTCGGGCTGCGTGACGTCATCCCGGAGCTGTCTAGGAACGACAAGGCGGCCAAGGTGATGATTTTGCGCAAGGCCGGCGAGTACGCCAAACGGCTCGTGGCCGAGGAGCACCGGCTGCTGTTGGAGAAGCGACAGGCGGAGGCGAGGCAGCACCAGCTGCTTAGAAAGATCGAATCGCTCAAGCGCTAAATCCCGTCCGTCCGTTCGCCACCGCTACCGAAACATTATTTGCTCTCTGGGGAAGCATGGGAAGCGCTCGCGCCGCCATCCCCCAGTGTGGAATTGCACGTTGTGGGCCACAGAGAACCGTGCCATTCCACCATCTTCATCGTGGATCCCCGCACCATCCCCGTACAGTTCCTGGCTCTTAACATAAATGCAATGCCCCCCCCCCCCCCCCACTTGTACATTTTCCTGCTGCGCTGCAGCAGACTGGACAGTTTGTTTTCCTGTGTACGCGGTCGCTTCAGGTGTCCGTCGGGACTGTAGTTGGTCACAGCTGGTAGCTCAGAGCCAGCCCTGAAAGTCCGGGTGTGACGTCGGGGTAAGTCCGGTGCCAGTGCGGGTCTTGCCGCTTGCACAGGGGGTATGCGGCACCCCCCTCCCCTCCACCTCTCCACCCACCCACCCTCTCCACCCCTCCACCCACCCCCTCCACCCCTCCACCCACCCCTCCACCCACCCCCTCCACCCCTCCACCCACCTACCCATGCCGTGGACCACTATGCGGGTCGTCGTCAAGGCCGCGCTGGCTCGGGAGAGAGAGAGAGAGAGCGCCAATCGGCAGAGGAAGAGACTTAACTCCTGCACAACTGCTGACACTTTATTTCTCAAATTTGCATAACAGAATTAACTGATGATGGCCGTGTTCAGTGCTGAGCAAATCTATAATAATGGTGATGACGACGATGACTCTCTACCAGAATATAGCCATTGTGTGTAAAACTTGGGGCTTGACATTTCAAAGTAAACAATTGTTGCCTTTTTTTGGATGGATTGAATATTGCATCATTTTAAATATTTAATTATTTTAAATATTTAAAGCTATTTGTGTTTTATTGTCGTTCTAGTCGAATGTGTCACTGCCTGGTTCTAACAATGAGTACTTTTTTAAAGATTAATGAAATACCATTTCGCGTTAAAAAGAATTCCTGTTTCACAATTCAGGGTTTTAAGATTATTTTTCATATTTTATACGAAAAATGCTTAAAAATGCAACTGCATCTGGATGTGGTTTGTTTTGTGTGTTTTTTAGATCGTTGCGTTTGTGTCTGGTTGGAAGTAAATTTTTTCTAATTAATTTGCTCTCGCTGTTCTTGACAGTCGATTCTTTTTTCATGAGCACTTTATTTTATTTCCCATAGAACAAAATAAAAGTGGCTTGAGTTCGGAACCCGCGCGAGTCCCAGTGTGTCTGCGCGAGTCTCGGTGTGTCTGTGCAACCCGTCGTGCGCGCGCACACACGCGTCACGTTGCACTCGGTTTGCCACCTCCTTGAGGTCCGAAAGAAACTGGGACGTGTGACGGCAAAGCAAGATATCTCGTCGTACCACGGAATGGCACGGGTCTCCAGCCGCGCCTTGTTATACAACTGACAAATCCCGGGACTTGTAATGTCCGGGGATGACTTCCTAGTACAGCAGCTAACTCCACAACATGATGAACCTGCGAAAACCGGGACAGGTGGCAACCCTACATTGCACTATTCCTTACGGGTAGTGTGGTGGGTTACTTATGTATTTATCATGGTTACTGAGCACAAGCCGAAAGGCCCAAGAAGGCAAGCGGCCAGCAACAAGTAACTATTAAAGATCAAGAGTTAATGCGTTGCTTGAAATGAGCAAAGTTGTAAACACTTGTGACAAGTGACGATAGGAGGGGATTCCAAAGTGGCTCCGTTCGAGGAAAGAAGCCGGGTGAGTGGTGTGACCTGCTGTCTGGCGAGTGGGTGCGTTGGTGAGTGTGTTGTGACTTGCAGTGTGGTGGTTGAACAGGTGGGTAGACCCAGTACTCAACATTGGTGGAGGGAATGAGTGCTTGAATGTAACTCGTAGTTACAGCAGTGATAAGGTGGCTGCCTGCCGGCGACAAGTGGAAAAACATGAACCCAGTGGTTGTTGAAGACTTCAAATGGTGAAACCGGTTGATGCACCTCAGCCTGGTCTCGCCCCGGACTTCACATTGTTAGGCCACTTCAAAAGATCCGCTCGCATTTTTTGCGGTTGTCAAGGTGTGAATGAAAAGCACCCAGTGTCAATGTGGAGTGACACCTGCTGTTGCCTGCCTGCAGGGTGAAGCCAGGTAAAGGTGTGTGTGTGTGTCCCGGAATAGAGTGGCACGCCCACGAACATCCGTGACCATCGTGGACACGTGCAACGTCACTTTGGAAGCGATGGCGTTGCGCTGGGGAATTTGACAAATAATTGGAGCGCTGTACAGTTAAAGCGCCTATCCGTGTGCGGGTTGTCTGCGTCCAAGGTTCACCGTGCTCGCAAAGATGCATTCTTTTTGCGCGCCAGGTGAATTATTAGCTGCTCCGCATTCGTCGAGGGTCGCTGGCTGCCCACTTGAGCGCAAACATCTGCGAGTGAGCTGATTAAGGAGCAATCGGAACTCGACACCGCAGCCCCCAACCTCTCCAGCCTCCCGCAGTTGCAGCCGTTGGGGGGTTTTATTTAGTTCGTTCTGATTGGGTCTCGCTCCGTTTCATGGATTTTTTGAAGTAAGGGGTCGTCCATAAATGACGTCACGCACCTAGGGGGGGGGGGTCAGATATTTGTGACGATGTGTGACGAGGGGGGGGGGGGGTGAGAAATGTGACGTCACATCAAACTGCGCAACTTTAAATAAATGTAGACAACACGTTCTACTTAATTAAATAGACTTTTTAATAAATGTGTTCTCCTACAACATCAGATTGCAGCGCCACATTAAATACGCACTACAATGACAATAGTTTAAAGCGATTTGAAGCATGTATTATCTCTTTTGGGGGGGGGCAGAGCATTGTGACGTCATATTTGAGGGGGGGTCTGACTTTTTGTGACACCGTGTGACTAGGGGGGGGGGGGTCAAAATCGTCCAAAATCGCGTGACGTCATTTATGGACGACCCCTAAGTCACCTGCAGCGTGATCCGTTATCGGGACGATGCAGGCTAAATAAACAAGTGCATCTGTGGCTGTGACGGGACTTCAGGACACAGGCCGACACAGGCCGACGGCGAATGAAGTCATCAAGGGCAAGAAGCCAGGGCCATGGTTTTGTCTGCAAACCTGAGTCCACACTAACGTGTGGTAAACTGCGGTTACACGACTTGTGAGCGTTTTGATGAAGTGTCCTCATTATTGCAGATGTACCAGCAACATCAGGAGGAATAAGATACCACACTGCATCATGGCTAAACACGATGCAATTCATCAGTAAAATAAGTATAATTTTAGTATCAATACAAAGTCGTTTATAGATTTAATTGTTTGTATGGGTTTGTAGCTAAATATCTTAAACTTAGAAACATTAGGATCAAATTTGTATTGGGGTTGATCCCCAGGTATGATTCACTCAATACCTGTGGCCTCTCTTACCTCTGCTATCTAGAAGGGAGAGTGCCCAAACACTCACCCATTATACAACATCTCCCCTACAGGGCAGTGCAGCATCACCACAAAGAAGGTTTGACAATGAGGAATTTAAGAATGAAACAGAAGGATTTCTCCACAAATCAGGCTGTCGCCTAATGATGCTAGTTGCAATTACTTGCAAAACGTCATACTCAAATTATAAATGTTATGGCTTTGCTCTGCAACACACCGGTGTAGTGCTGTACTCGTCACGAGTTGGCATGTTCTATTTACGGGACAAACATCATTAATTGCCCGTGTTGGGTGGTGGTGGGTTTAATGACACGTTAATATTTACGCGATCTAACTAAATAAAATCCCTCTATTATGGATAATATCAGTCGCGAAAGCCCTGCTACGTGTTAAAATTGGGAATTTTTTGACGCGTTGCGAAAATGTTTTATTATTATTAAACAGAGAATAAGAAACGCCACACATCGTGTTTGTGATAATGTCACGGCGCGTGGCACGGCGGAGGAGGAGGCTGTGTGCTCGTTAGCGTCAGCGAGCCGCCGCCGCCGCGTTGGGGTCAAGCTGACACCGCTCGGGAGGCTCCGTGACCTCTCCCCGTCGCGACAGACACCACCAGGCTGGGCCACTCCCAGAGGCAGGCGACGGCACGGATTCCAATCATCCAGAGAACCGTTCAATATCGTCATCAGCAACGAGCAATTCACTGCTGGATGAAAGTCTCCCCAATCTGTTGCCATCTCTCACACTCGTGGTGTCGTCGTCCACCTAAGCATCTGCACGTGAGCAGAGTTCGTCGTTCCGTCTCCTGAGAGTTGATGTACTGCTCTCAAAGCGGTACACTCGTTGGCCGCTACTCCGTCACCACCCAGAACAGAGCCACGGGACACACAACGACTCCATGTCCGACTCACAAATACGTCGTAGGAGGAGGAGGAGGCGTCATCACAGCCACACACCACTCCGCGACCCCCGATGCAATTATCTGGCTCAACAACCTCCGTGTAAAATTACAGTTACTGCTCTTTCTCAACATCAGCCAAACAAATAATACAACGATATTCAGAGATGAACACGGAAACCCATAGACTCGCACAGAGACCATTCGACTCAGGCAAATATCGATTGATTCACATATCACACAGATACCCGGGAGTCTCATGCGAAGAAGATCTATTTTGGAGGAGGCATCATCAACAGCGATACACCGCCACTTCTGACCCAATTATCTGGCTCACCAAGCCACCCCACGCTGACCCCACGGTGACCCCACGTGGGGTCGATCAATCGGCTCCTGCTCAGTGTGGAGGCGGCCACCGCGGTCACGTGCTCGGCGCGCGGATCACGTGGGGCGGAGGCTGCAATGACGGCCGCCGTGGCAGGGCCCGGGCGCCTCCCTCTCCTCGTCATTCTGGGCGCCACGGGGACCGGCAAGTCGAAGCTCGCCATCGAAATGGCGAGGAGGTTCGGCGGGGAGGTCATCAGCGCCGACTCCATGCAGGTAGCACGCGTCCTGACGGCCACAGCGTTCACCGCTGCCGTGGAGTCACCCCGTCCCCCCACCCCGAAGCCGAGACCGTACCGGTCTCGCCTGGAAATTTAGCCGCGGCCCTAGGCTAGGCCTCCCGCGTGGTGGGGGGAGGGAGGGGGTATTCGTGTTTCTGTGTATAGCACGTGTTGACAGTCCACTGCTGGATGACGGCCACCCATGCCGCTGTGGTCGTGGGTCGACTGCTCATACAGCCTGTTTTAGTGCTTCGTGGTCGCCCACGGAAGCCATAGCCAGGCTGTAACCTACTTGGCTTCCCAAGGCTGACGGGGTCGGGCGCATTCCGGGTGATACGATCATGGACAGGGGTTGCCATCCTAAATAATAAGAAGAGACATTTTTTTTCGAGTAAGCCGCCGTTTTATTTGAACACGAGACGGCCCTTAATAAATAACATCACGAAGCAGTCCTTAAAGAGCCGTAGGTTATTTCCCCCAGGCATTGGCGACATTCCCGTCGGAATTCGCTTGATGTGTCCTGCCATAAGAACAACAGCTACAGCCAACAAGGCGACAGCCCTTTTGGCAATCCACTGCTGAATGGGGGCCACCCCACGCAGTGCGTGCGGGTCGTGTGAAATCATTTGACCTTCACGCTTGCCATTGCGTGCTGGTGACGACAGGGCAGCAGAGGCGCCGGAGCGTAGAAGTGCAGTCCAACAATGTTTTTATATCCACAAACCCCTTTACTGGGTCTGAGTGTCAGCTGAATGAGCTGAAGACACGTTAGGTGAAGTTCAACAGCAAGTGGCGAAGTGTCGTTTTGTACTCATTGGTCAGAAAGCGGAAGGGGCTTGGGCAAGACACATCGTGGCTAGAGAGGATTATGGACGATGAGCACCAAATGAGAGAACGCGTCTAAGAGGACGACCACCGCGGAGATGGAGCGATGAGAATTGGTCAATGTGCGTGAGTGAGATGGATGGTAGCAGCACAGTACCGTGCGAGATGGTGACGGCCTTTATCTAGCAGTGGATACACAATCGCTGATGACTGCGATAATCAATTTACATCCTCGAGTGATTCGTCGTTATAAGCGAAAGCATCTTGATGATGGTTATTGATGACGAGCTGTTTGCTGATAATATATAGACTCAAGTGGTGAGTAGTACCAGTAAGTGGCGAGGTGTCGTCTTGCGTGTCGTGATGAGGTGATGTTGCCCTGTTCAGTGCTGAAGTGTATTCTCATGTTCATTGACGATTAATTTCATTCTTGATTTGAATTTCATCTTTTATGTGATCTATAACTATGAATTTTCACCTCGTTCATTGATAATGAGATGGCGCCTCGTGTCAAGGAGTGATTGAGGTGCACACGCTTGTTCATTGGTGATGAGCTGCTGGTCTAGTTGGAGATAGTCTGATAAATGTACGAGGCCCTTTGGCCATCATGCCTCATGTAGCATTTGTGAAAGCTGTTCTTTTTTTTCGCCACAGATTACAGGAAATGTTGAGATAGCTTTCGTTGCCCAGCAACAGCTAAGCACTCTAATTCACGTAATGCAACACAGGCTATTGAAAATAAACCATAAAATCCATCCGGTGCGCCTCGCCATCGCCTGCTCTTTCACGTTCATTGTTTAAAATGTAGAGATATAAACAATACGTCAGCCCCTGTTATTGGAAGTTTTGAATATGACGTCGTTGACCTTAATGCTATACTTGAGCGGTGGGTGCATGTTTTTTTTCCTCGTGGTGACTTCAGTATGGCCAGAAATCTCATTTGCGAGCACTTATTAGCCCAGATAAAGCCTTGCAAAAAATCTTGATTTGAAGCATTAATAAAAAATGTCAAGTGCACGATCTGATGTTTGCCAGAATCCCCTGCTACGTGTATCTTATGAAAAATGAAAGGGTTATGTTTTTGAAAGACGATTGCTAACGTGATGCCGTTCAAGAATGTCATTGGATGCAAATCAAGCATGCTCAGTTGTTAAAATATATTTGCCTTTTTGGTTCTTTCGGTAAAGTCACGTAGAAAGAACAATAAATTAAATAATAGCATACGACGTTTCGATTGCAACACAAGCAATCATCATCAGCTACGAATGAAAGATAAAACAAACCTAGTAGAAATATAATGCAATACAACACAAAAAACCTAAGAATATTAATACAACACAGAGAGTCGGCTAACATAAGTCAACACCCTACCTGGTTGATTACGTTCTTCCAAAGGTTGCTAAATTTGAGAGAGAGACAAAACACAGACACGGAGACACATAGACAGACACACAAGCAGAGAGATATAACACAGAGACACACAGAGAGAGACATATACATAGGCATAACAACGCCACTTTGTCGAGGCCTTTTTAAATATATTTGCCTGTCAAACTAACCACTCTTACATCCAGTATGTTTATTGTCCTTGAAACAGGTTTTTAGAGAAAAAACTGTACTTTTGTTGAGATGAGGCGTGAGATGGTGCCACCGTGACACAGGTGTATTCAAATAGGGATTCAAGGAACTGTTTTGGCAGTGGCATACAGGCACGAATCAAAACTACTTCGTTCCTTTGTCATGCATGCATTAGCTAATGAAAACTGCCCGTATGTCAATTACAAATCCGTACATGTGTCAACTTTCTTTAAAATTTTCATGAGTTTTCAATGTCACAATGCAAAGTCTGTGGTCTATAACTACAAGCCAGTCAATTTGTCCTCTCTCCCACATCGGTAGGAGGGCCATTCCCCTCTGTATTGTCCTTTCGAATGATAACATTGGTGGGCTTGTTTTGATTTGGACATGTTCGTACATGCACATGTATAACTTTTTTGCCAATCCATTGCTGGATGGGGGCCGCCTCATGCCCTGCTGACATGTCTTATGGAGGTTGTTATTTCACTATTAGCACATTAATCAGCGCGGATTGGTGAAGGCGGGTAGCATAGACGTCAGAACATAGTACAGTACCACATTGAATGTTGCTACTTTGCCCCCTGCCCACAACTTAGCCCCATAGCAGCCTGCAACACCTGTTTTTATTTTCCAAGGTCATAGTGGCATAAAGAAGTGACTTGGGTAATAGCAGCAGTTACTTCTGCTAATAAAAGACGGGGGTTTTGGTGGTGGCAGAGCCGCCCTTGGCATTGGTGGCTGTGGCATCATCGCTACCTCACTCGCAGCCACCTGGATATGCGTCGTCTCGGTGGAGCCTGGGAAGAGGTGTACCCCACACCAGCAGGGTTGTTATGAGTGGGCCTCAGCGTGAGAGTATTTTGACCCGATATAATTTTGGTGAAGGAATCTGAATGCTAAATATTATTTGAACTCTGGGGTCTAAATTATGGTCAAGCAATGTGGATTCCCCCCTCCCCTCCCCATGGAAAATGTACCCCTCCTGGTTTGGATACTATATAGGCTTAAGCTATGGTTAAGGTTACCTTTGGGTTAGGGTGTTTACTGAAGGATTCTTAAAAAAAGTAATCTATGTTGGCTTGTGTCTACATTCTTGGTGTGTATGTTGAACTTCTTTAGCACCGTACGTAGCCAACCGCGTTAATCGGAGGTGGATCGGCAACGTTTTATGTGTATATTGAGGACATAAAGTCATTCAAGACCCAAGGTGGAGGCTTGCTGGATGTGGTATTCCCCGGGGCGGTATTGGATCATGTGATCCATGATCTGGCTCTGGTGACGGCGGTCACATCTTACGAAGCAATATTATCATTATTTCTTACAGGACTTATAGGCTAATTCCCAGCATCATCACAGTTATTAGAAAAGAAGAGTGACCCAAACTAGCCGAGGGGAGTTTTGACTCCGAGGTCATATATCCATGGGGGTCACAATACGGTGTCGTAAACGCGTTTACCGTGGTTAGGAGGAGTCTGTGCGTGCACAACAGCCTTGAGCCGCGTGTTCGTGGCTTTATCGGATGTAATTTCCCTCTTGCCCCGAAGCGCGGAGATAAGCGGCGAGTGTAAACAAGCGCTGTACTTTCACACGATCTCAGCTGACGCGGTACAAGGTTTCACCCCCCCCCCCCCCCCCCTCTGACAATACACACCAATTGATGTTTTCTTATGAAATCGGCGCACACTTGTTAGCAGGTACACCTCCACACACCCGCTCTGCGAATTTGCGTCGTACACAATGAAAGGAAATATTACCTGCGGATGCAAAATTAGACGTTCATTAGGTACTTAGTCATTTGGCTGATAGCCGTTGCTGCTGCCATAAAAAGCGAACGACTGTGCATGTTGATTGTTGTGCTGTGTCCCAGACGTGGTCAGTAAGTGGGGTGATTGGCCCACTCCGACCAGCAGCCTGGCTTCAACAATCCAGCAGTGACCCAGAGGATGAGATAGAATTTTAGTTAAAAGTTACATTGAAGAGCGTAGGTAATGGTACATGTTTTATAATGGCTGTTTTTGAAATTCTCATCTTTAAAGTTAATGGGCAGTAAGTTAACTTCTGTTGTAGCTCTGCTCTTTCATGCGATCGAACTGCGCATGGCAGTGTTTAGTCTGATCAATGGCTCTAAGACAACGGATGGTACCATTAAGTTGTATTAATGCGCGCATCTTCATCCAAGACGTACCCACAACGTTACATTAATTTACTAAAAACACTACTCAACACTAGTGTACAGCAGTCAACTTTAACACAAAGTAGTTAATGTACAGGCGAGGAGGAGGAGCAGGCCGAAGTGACAGATACGAGAAAGGACGAGTGACGATGCTGTCAGCGACGTACGGTTGGGTTGAGGCGACACAAATGGGGTAATGGTATGAAGAAAGTGACGACGACGTATTGGTGAAACGACTAAAAAGGGGAGATGTAGATTACTATGTGTAGAGCGCGTATTACTTGGTTTAATAATGTGCAGCTACCTGTACATCTAGTATCTAATGCTGCAACGAGCGAAGCTGCTTGCCGTCTCGCCATCAGCTGTGTACACGCGCCATTATTGGTCTGTGCGTCCCTTGTGTAGCAGGCATTTAATGA